TTTGTAATCCCCGCCCGCCCCCCCGCGCTTGAGCTTGAAGGCTCGACAGGTAGGTCTCGTAATCGTGGGAGGTCGACACATTCATCGATCTTTTCAAAGGTGGCAAGAGAATGGAAGCCAATGTCTAGAGATTTCTAAATCTTCTTTTTATCGAACTATCATGTTTGAAAGTCACGCGTCAACAGTTTTCGCCATATGGAAATTCAACACGATGGTTCGTCAAGTGTTCGGTCTCAAATTGTAGCAGGGCTGCCCTGTGGAAAATTGACAAAAAAGCGAAGTGAAACGGTCAAAAAGCTACGAAAAAGCTCCTTCTCTAAACGACCCGAGAGAAATTTTGGATGAGCTACCCTTTGGCATCTTGCCTAACCGCTACGGTAATTGCAATGTATGCACGCACATGTCCTTGCAGCACAGTAATAATCACAATCATCCGCTGCCACACACCGCATCATGTCGGTCCCTTCGCTTCATACTGAATGGAAGAGTCACGCAGCACCCGCTCAGGTGTGCCGACTATTGTCCTGCTAGGGGTTTGACCAACCTTGGGGACTTATCGGGCCTTGGGGACCGCCTTGGGGAACCTTATCGGGTCATTTCTTTTGAAGGCGATGGAACTGCAGCATAATGATTCCTTGAAGTAGAATCCCTTCCACCACTGTACTACAGCGGTTCCCTCTGACAGAACTTAGCCACGGCAAATCGGTGCTTAGTTTGTGGTGCACGCATGCAGTTCGTGTTTCTACAATTTGCATCTCGGGATGAACGTCTGTTTTAAGTTGGGGTACTGTGACTCATTCTCAAGTTCCTCAATCTGGTCTAGTATTACTCATTCATGCACCTTTGTTTCTACGTCATGATCTCTGCAAGCAGTAAGGCGTGCCAAGGCTCACCTTCCATCCCTGTCGTGAGCAGGTGGAAGGGTGAGAGTGTACATCGGCGGCCCACAACCCGCCCAGGTATTCAGGAGGACTCCATTCCCGCTGTGCGATGAGTCGCGTGAGGTCTAGAATGCTCCTAGAGAGCGCAATCTGCCGGTCCGCCACGAGCATGTTGTTCTGACGGATTGAGGTGGCTGATAAAGGGGTGTCCGATTAATTGTGTGCTTGTTTATTACATAACAGAACAGACTATTAATTGAATGTTCACATGCAATTACAGGGTTATTAAGACACGGAATAAATGATGCATTAACTAACAAACTATTATTAAACAGAACAGACTATCAATTGAATGTTCACATGCAATTACAGGGTTATTGGGTCACGAATAAATGATCGAAATAACTAACAAACTAATTAAGGTTGGTGCATAAAGCCTTCGCCCCCCCCCTGCCTTGATCCTTCCGTTTTCATTGCAATGGCAATGTTGGTGTTTTTTCGCCATCGGTGTGCATGACGTGTACATGATACTCTTTCATCACACTAGCTATAACTTGTCCAACCTGCTTTGCAGGCTGTAATGCAGTGCAAAACCATGTCACAGTGGTGATTGTGCGAAATTGTGGCCTCCTTCGGGTCCCAGCCCCCGTCCTCCTGAAACGATGGGGAACCGCAAGCTGTTCAGTGGTTGGCGTTCGCGTAGTGAATGGTGACGCGTCATAACCTCCAATCTTAAGGCTGGTTCGCTATTGAGATATTTACACAAAAGTCGGGAGAAAGAACTTATGCACCAATAATATTATTACAATATGGAATATCAAAGCAAGGATAAGGCATGACTAGAAAACAGCGGAACGGGATGAGGCATGCGAGCGTGGTAGCGCTTCGGTCCACAAGGCCGTGAATGATTCGAGGGAAGTGAGCAGCCGCTCAGTAAGACGACACGACGACTGACGCGCGCGCGAGCTGACCAGAGAAGCAGAGTAACTTCCCGCGCTCCCTGTTCTTCCATAGTTCATGCAGATGTTCACGTAGCGTGGAGAATATGCAACGAAGTTTTTCAGAACTTTTGCGCCACAGCCGACGGGTCTGACGATCTGACTGCGCTCCAAGCCATGCCCTCGTCACACGCGCTGTCGTTTGCAGGAACCATACAGTACAGTACGGCGAAACTTTCCTGAACAGTAGACTGCGCTCCTAAGCTTACTTCAGTTCCGAGCCGTTGGATCAGAGTAAAATGTATTAGGTCATCCCATTCAAACTGGCCGCTACATATAGAGGAATGGCAGAAAAGCAAAGGGGATAGAGCAGCGGGCTACTATACCATTTGGAAGCTAGTACCTTAAGCTGTGTATCTGTGAAATTTGGCGAACCTAGCCCCAGAAGAAGTTCTCGAGAAATTGAAAAGAAGCCCGAGTGGTGAAAATCGGCGCCAGTTTTTCAAATCAGACGTCATAAGAGGAAAGTGCGCTGCTCAAATTTGACCTGCGCCGGACCATAGTTGCGTGTAAGGGTGTTCTAAATACACGGTGGAAGATTTGGTTCAGGAGCCCGTACAAGGAAGAAAAAACAATTTGTTGTCGTGGATGGTCCCATAATATTCATCCTGCACAAGAAAAAAGGGTGGATGAAGTCAGGCACTGAATATCTGATCACAGAGCCTGGACCCTTGTCGAGCTTCCCTCCCCGCGAGTCTGACATCCCAGCTGCAACTGCTGCCCGAGTTATGTCCGATAAACTGAGGATGGTCAAGAGGGTGGCGCATGGGTACCTAATTTTCTTATAGAAGCAACGCACATGCAGTAGCGATTCCATTCCTCTAGCAGTAATGTTCTCAGCATGAGATGTCACTCACAACTGTGAAAACGCACCCAGGCCTTAGATGAAATATGGGTGGTCTCGGACCTCGAGCCGAAACTCACAATCGTCAATTTTGTATGAATGCAGATGAGAAGCCGCCCGAGTTCTACCATGAAGAGTTACGTGGGCGCAAGTGGATGATCATCATAGCAAAGGATTCCCACACTGTGGCTTTCAAGCGGCTCTATACAGAGAACAAATCCGTCACTGTCGGTGCATATTGCCTGTTTCTCGGCATTCAGATCGACAAATGGATGCTACCACACAACTACAAGAAGGCCACCGTTGCTCGTCATAGTACCAGACCCCGAGCACTGTATTGTAGATCAGTGCTGGGTTCAAAATCGCTAATCGCCCCATTCGTCGCGTCCATAAAAGACAGATGCAATTACAACTGTTCTATTCAGTTGAGAGCAGGGTACAGCATAGGGATAGGCGAAATGTCGGTGTGAGTACGACCCCCCCCCCTTAGCTCGACCGGGGCTCATTCGCGCGAACAGACAGCGGACGATGGGAGGCGGTCGTATGGCGTGGCTGGCAGCTGTCCTACCGTAACTGGGACGCTGCTGGACGCTAATTGACACCTCCCTGAGCCTGGGCAGCCGCTCCCTTGGACCGGAGAACTCGTCTACAGCTACGTACGACTCGCATCATTGAATCGACCACGAATAGTAGGACGCTCGTAAGACGCCCGAATGCGTAAGGCTTCCCCATTCGTAACCCCGTCGCCCAACCACCCATTCTCCGGTTTTTGACGGAGCTCTTTGGCCTTACCAACTATTTTGAAACGCACCAGTACCTACTAATATTGTATATTGACCATTGCTTTTCTGTACAAGTGCGGAGCTACTAAACCATTGGTGAGTTTTTTTTTGCAGTTGCTTAAAACTTGATTTCTATACTGTTTGCTTACTGGAAGAGCATAGTTTCATGACCATTTTGGGATCATGACACATTCTTCTTCTAAGTTCGCTCACAGTTATTTTTCCTTGTTAACGATCATCGAAGAGTTCCTAACAAGTGTTTTTTTCTACCCCAAGGTACGCATAAGCATTGTAAAGGCCCTGAAGGGGGGCGGGTGAGGGCGTTAATGTTAACGAATTGTTAAACATGGCTAAAGCAACAACAAGTCGCACTCAAAACGAATGCAACTGCAAGTGACGAATAATCTGTGATTCATTTATAACAGCCACTAGCATGTCATGACCCAATTACGACCTCAACTTCTTTTTCGGGATGAGTTACGGGAGACTTTGTGTCTCCTTTGGGCATATCAAATGAGACAGCGACGTCGCACGCTCCCCTATGGCAGTAATTAGTGAGAAATGTTGCTCGTCAGCAGGGTCACAATGTCAGTACCAACTTAGAAATGGAGTAAGGGACTGAGTCCAGGAAAATTGTATCAGGGAAAGCAAGAATATTGAGGAATAATGCATCGTGAAGCTGTTCTGGTAACTTTTTTGTGCAAACGTGTAAAAAAACAGTTGTTAGGAACTCTTCAATGATCGTGAACAAGGAAAAATAACTGTGAGCGAACTGAGAAGAAGAATGTGTCATGATCCCAATGGTCATGAAACTATGCTCTTCCAGTAAGCAAACAGTATAGAAATCAACTTTTAAGCAACTGTAAAAAAACTCACCACTGGTTTAGTAGCTCCGCAGTTGTACAGAAATGCATTGAATAATCGATAGCCGTTTATAGCTGTAGTTATGTAAGCGCGTAGGCGAAAAAAAAAGTCGAAACTCGGCTCAAAACGGAAGAGAATGCGTAGTTGAGCGATCAGTACGCAATTCGGCGTTTACGGAGACGTCTCACCATTGTAGGTCGATCAATTATACGAATCAGTATGGTGCGTGGCTTGTGGACGAGTTCTCCGGTCCGAGGGAGCGGCTGAACAGGCTCAGGGAGGTGTCAATTAGCGTCAGCAGCGTCGCCAGTTAGCGGTAGGAACAGGCTTTGCCAGCCAACGCCATTTTTCCGGGACCGACACCCCGTAATCAAACTATCCAAATAAATTTGTCTCCAACAAATACGACCCCCTCCCCCCAAGCAAAAGTACGATATACGATACGTATATATTTCCTTTCTGCAAATTCCGCAGTTCTGCATATTCCGCATTTCTGCATCATGTATGAACGCGGCCTTACTCCGAAGATCTCAGGATAGAGGCCGTTGATTGCGCGCTCCATTCCATACATACAGTACCACGGCCTCCGCCCTTTAATAAGAAAGTGAAGCGTTTCTGTGGTGGATCCTCCATGCAAGTTGCTGTTGATGTCGATTTTGTGTGGTTCAACTGTCGTACTTTTGACCGTTCTCAATTTAAGTGATATATTTTCAGTATGTCGTCTGATGAGAGCGATGGCGACTATCAGGAGCAACGAGAGGAAGAAGAGGAGGAGGTAGTTGTCTTTTATTGCCGTTGGTCACATTAACGAAGTTTATCTAATTAGTTGATTATGCTGTAATCTCGCATTTAGGTGAATAGTGGGTCTGGTTCAGAAAACGGAAACGATGAAAATGAAAATGGCTCAGGAAGTGAGGACGAAGCACCGAAAAAGAAAAATAGGAAGAGAAAAGTATATGGCTTATTCTGTATGCTCTGCTGATAAATACTCATTTCACTAATGCAGATTAATTCGGAAAGTGAAGACGAGGGGACTGGCGACAGCGAGAACGAAGAAGAAGAGAAGAAGGAAGTTCGCACCTATAGAGTTTCGAAAAAGCCTCGAAAAGAAAACGGGGTATTTTACTCTTATCTCGCGTTGTTTGCTTTCAACTCTTTTTTGCTGGTCTTTAGCCAATCACTCCTACGGAATCTTCTTCCTTATGAAAACTTTTTTTACTACTTCTTTTGTATGCACGGTTACGCAAGTAAACGGAAACGGACCGATAGATGTAAGCTAATGTTTATTTACGGCTGGGTGCTGTGGCGAACTTACCCGATTCTTAGAGCAACTGATCAAATTTTTTTTGGCTAGGTGCGATTGTGCGAAAGCGACCTTAGAAAGATACACGGGCAAGCTGATCGACGCTCTTCTAAAATGCCGCACGAGTTCTGTCTATTCAGAATCGTGGCGTTTATTGGATGCTATATAGCCTCTACAGTGACTTGGAGGGCTAGGCAGTGAACAAGTCGGTGTTCTCATCTTTGCAGAAACACAATCGATCTGGTAGCCTTATTTACGCGGCTCAGACGATTGGCGAACTGGGTTAATCCCAGGGTGGCGAGTAGACCCCGGGTTTGGCCCCCATTACCGCGCCAGATTGCTGTCGTCCACAACCACTCCGCCCCTTTCGGAAGTAAAGGGAAAGAATTACGTGGGGCTGATAAACGTGGCGAGTTTATCGAAAGCCAAAAGCTAGTATAGTGTTGCTGGAAGATGTTTGAGTATAATGGCATTCATGTTAAGAAGGATCGTCGTCCTCGCGGTTCGGACTTCATTTTGCAAGATGTCGATGTTGATGACGAAGAGCAGGACGAGGACGATTGGGATGATGAAGAAGATCGAGCTCTTGAACCAAATGAAAAGGAAGAGGTTTGTTAATTACGGCCAGAAGTTGCTGTGTTTCATAAGAAAAGGAAGAGGTTTGTTAATTACGGCCAGAAGTTGCTGTGTTTCATAAGAACTAGGAAAATTACAATCTCAGGCTGAAAAGTACATGAAGCAGCTTGATGCGGAAAGAAGACGGAACGAAAGAAACAAATTCGCGTAAGTTCACTCCTTTATTGATTGCTCCTGGCAGACTATCTTGAAGGGGGTTTCAGGAATATGAACGAAGATGAAATTGGTCGATATTTCGAAAATAAATACAAGACACAGCCCATAAGAGACCTCGTTGAAGAAGATTCCGCTTTGGGTAAGGAATCGATCTTGTTACGATCCTCCGGTCGTTAGCAGCATTGTTTTAGATGATATTTCACAACATGGACTTCTACCTTCTACGAAGGATCCAAATCTATGGATTGTGAAGTGTAGGATGGGCGAAGAAAAATTGGTTGCATTGCAGCTGATGCGCAAATATTTGGCTTTTGAGAACACAAACGAGGTAACCTGTTAGAGCCCCATCACTGATGTGTTTTAAATGAACTTTTCTTTCAGCCTCTTCAAATAAAATCCTATTGTTGTGAAAGAGGGCTTGAAAGGAATAATCTACATCGAAGCCTTCAAACAGTCACATGTTGCCAGTGCAATTAATGGCGTCTCCGCTTTGAATCAGTTCAACGTTACGGTATGAAAATCTCTTCGGTTCCATTTTTTTCAGTCTTTCACTACCACTGCATTGTTCAGATGGTACCTATCAAAGAAATGGTTGATACTTTGCGTGTGGTCAAAGACGTTCCTGCACTGAAAGTCAACTCATATGTCCGACTCAAACGTACCATGTACAAAGACGATCTTGCTCAGGTAAGAGTTCTTTTTGCAGCCGAATAGTGCGTTCCATTTAATTTTTCCATTAAGATTTGGATTTCAGGTGGATTGGGTGGATGTGGCGCAAAGTAAAGTGAACCTGCGCATTGTCCCCAGAATTGATTATACGAGAATGAGAGGAGCACTGCGAACCGTCAGTATTGAATACTTTCGATACAGGCTTTTTTTTGAAATTTGTATGCAATTTTTCAGGAAGCGGATCGTAACCATAAGGTTAAGCGTCGTCCCATGCCTCGACTTTTTGATCTGGATAGAATCAAGTAAGTACTTCTAATGAGTTATGTGGCAAGACAGTCGTAATTCGCCGTGGTGGTGGGCGTCGACGGCGGGCCCGCTAATTGTGATGTTTTTTGTGTCGTAGATAGCGACAACAGACAATGAATAGTCAAAAATAGGAATAGATATTCACGATGTCGTAGTATACACGAAATCCTGTGCCTAAGTCTGCAGGCTAATACAGTTTAAGAAAACACAGTGCTGCACATTTTTTTTGTGATCACGTTGCACCCATTAGTCGTTTTTCAAAGAGTCCATTTCTCAGAGAAATCGGAGGAGAAGTTACCAATGACGGCGACTTTGTTATCTTCGAAGGAAATAGCTATAGGCGTGGATTCCTCTACAAGTCCTTCCCGATGAATGCTATAGTGAGCTATAAAGAATATTCTATGCATTTAGCATCAATCAGTCATGGATTTTCAGATTGCCGAAGGTGTCAAGAAAGAGCTGTGAGTGTTATGCCTTGTCAAATTCATGCGGCGGTTTCAGAAAGCCATGTCACAATGAAAAAAAAATGTGACATGGCTATAACCCCACCAATGCATCGAAAATTATATTGGTGAGCGTACGTTCCATGGTCTCAATTACCACATACTTTGCTGCTCAAAAAAACATTTTGTTCGCAGTTCAACAAAATTATTATTGTGGCGACAGCAATAAATTGCAGATGTTGCCCTTATTGTGCCAAAAACCCGTAAAAGTTCAGCAGTAAGCGTTCAGTGCTTATCTGTATTAACGCGTTGTCAATGAGTATAGACACTTAAGTATTAGGTTGTCCGGAATGTTTTGAGAAAATTCCACAGCTTAAATGCTGAGCAGGAATGAGCCAATCTAATTAACGTACAATATAGTGTCCCAGTTGGTGTATTCTCCATTGTTGGTATGAGTTAATATTACCTGAAAAATGTGCTAGCGCACACGACTCTCAACGCCGTCTAGTTCATCGTCACCGTCTGCTGCTATTTAGGTGAAATAGGGGGAAGGAAGAGGCACCGTCACCAGTGCTAGCTAAAAGACGCTCAGAAACTATCTGTGATAGGAGATCAATCGGCTCTCTTACATGGAAGTTCAGCTTGGATGTTGCGTACGCCCCCGCATCCTCGGTACTCACTTCATTCTAGCTCCCACGCAATGTAATCCCGCCTAAAATTAAGGGTTCGGAATGGACTATTGTTTATTATAACTATGAATTCCTATCTCTCACTTGTTGATAAATGTTAATTAAGCTGGTCAATATTTCGAAACTTTCTGACGCACTAATAATATACCTATATGAATACGAGTATTTCTTTTAATTTGCGCATTCAATTAACTGGTTCCATCCCTTGAATTGTGACTTTTTAAACTTTTTCCAAAGATTCATTTTGTAGAACGGTAGATGTTCAGCCTAAGCTTACTTCCACTCCTCATGTAGAAATGGTTTTTTCTGATTTGGTTTCTTTTTATTTCTTTTATGATTTAGTTCCATTTTTTATAATGTTCTTCGAGACCAACAGAACCAAAACTGGAGCACTTCTCAGGGCCATGTTTTGGCCTGTGCGCTACGCTAGAACCTGAAATGATTAGCAAGGGATTGAGACCTTTGCGTCGGGACGCTTCAAATACTCAGCTGCTAAATGTTGAAGGAACACAGGAACGACGACAATTTACTCATTTTTTAGATTCTACCAATCCTAATTCATGTTTAACTCGTTTCAGTAGAGTCCACAACTGTGAAAGACAACACGCATTTCTTCGCACCTGGCGACAATGTAGAAGTAACTGAAGGCGAGTTAGTGAATCTTCGCGGTAAAGTGGTTAGCGTTGATGGACCTAAGGTCGTTATGCTGCCCGATCATGAAGACTTGAAGGTAAGACATGCGGTACACACACCTCAGTTTCTGATGTGGAGTTTCTTATTTTTTTCAGTGCCAACACATTCTTAGAATGAAAAAAGCATTGTTATAGGAACCCCTTACACTGAACATATCTGAATTGCGTAAATATTTCCGACCTGGAGATCACGTCAAGATGATTTCTGGCCGCTATGAAGGCGATACCGGTCTCATTGTGCGTGTAGAGCATAATCTCGTAGTCGTACTGAGCGATCTCAGCATGGATGAGGTGAGAGCTTTCTGTTCCTTTCGCTGCATTCACTTCGTGAAAGTTAGGCTGTTTCAGATGAAAGCACGACCCCGAGACGTACAACTGTGTGCCGATATAACCACTGGGGTTGACTCTTTGGGACAGTTCCAGTTCCACGATCTTGTTCAGCTCGATCAACAAAATGTTGGCGTCATTGTGCGTCTTGAGAAAGAAACTATGGAGGTTCTCAATCAACATGGAAAGGTTCGTTTCTGAATAAGTTTGTCAATTACTTAGCATGTCCCTACTTGCTATCAAATGTGACTCTCGCTGGTTTAACAGTGTAAGACTTCAATCAATAGTTGTTTAATTAGAATTCACAGGTTCAAATTCTGATAATAGGTATTGTCTTTGTTTACTAAAGTTTTCATAGATACGCTTTGTTGTTTGTTGTTTAAAGAGTGTTAGCATTCAAATCGATATTCTAGGTTTTACGAGTGAAACCGCAAGCGATTCAAGGCAAGAAAGACACTCGGCATTCTCAAGCTTTGGATAGTCAGCAAAATCCCATCCAAAGCAAGGACATGGTCAAAATCATTGACGGTCCCTTCGCGGTAAGCTTCTCATTGATATATTTGCTTCGAAATAGCCACCTTAACTGCACTTTGGAACACTTTCTCCATGATTCTGTATTTTTTGCATCAGCAAAACGAGAAATGAAAGGAGTTTGAGAACTATGGGAATCATTATGTTCCAAAGAAATGACCTCCCCTCGTAGCATTACACTTCCAGTCAGGGCTCATCGTGTCGTTGGATTGGAGGAAAGTTCCACAAAACGCTACATACTCCCCCCCCCCTTGTAGTTTCCTACTCTGTACGAGCCTCTTCATCATCCTCCCATACTACATACCTACCCCCTTCTCTACTGTCTACCACTTTACAGGAGTTTCATCGAGAAACTCTCCGCTTTTTCCCAAAAAACTGGGTATACAGCGTACGTCACAAACGAGGAAACCGACAAATGCTAACAGGAAAATTTTTTCTCAAAGCAGTTACGACTCTCCTCCCTCCGGCGATCGAATGTGACCCCTCGCTGGAGACCCCTAGCGCGTGACCATGGTCTCAATCTAAGAGTTTTCCACATTTTCTGGCGAATCGATACCCTGCGAATTTTCTGCTTCCCTTGGCTTAAAGATCTTTTCTTTGCACCCGCTGGTACTGAATACCATTCATTGAGAAGAATAATGATAGAATAATAAATAAAGCTCTCAATACCGTGAAACAACTAAGATGTAGAATTCAAAAATAGCCTTCATTGGAATGTGAGCTATGGGTGTCGAATACGATCGTATAACTAAGAATTCTTATGGAGCGGGTCCCAGCGACTCATGGAATATTTTTGTAACTGCTTTATTCTACGCCTACATCTTGCCAACATGTTTTTCCAGGCTAAGAAAAATGAAGAGGAAAAGCAAGGCGAGATCAAGCACGTTTATCGGTCTTGGGTGTTTGTATTCTCGAGAAAGCATACAGAAAATGGTGGCATGCTTGTATGTAAAGCTCGGCATCTCCTGCTAATTGGTGCTCGTGCTGGTGGTGGAAGAGGTAAGTCTTCATTTAAATGGTTCATTACCTTATTGAGTGCTTAGTATTAGATCTGGTGAATAATTCTAGGTGACATGCCGTCGATGAACCGTCTTAGTATGTCAAGTCCAAATCCGTTCGCGTCTCCTCGTCATAATGGAAGTGCGACACCGGCTCATTCGAGTTCTCAGAGTGTGAGCGGGTACAGCGCAGGCGGAAAGACGCCAAGTCATGTTGGTATGTCTACCACTTTTACTTGTATTTCCATTTCGATCTGTGGTACGTTGAAGCGAAAGGAGCTTCTTCTGAAGCATAGGTGATGCCTGCCTAATTTAGCCGGTTTCGGAGGACCTGGAATGGGAGGCGGTGGTGCAAACAAAGTAAGAAGGGACAATGCGATTATTGGAAAGAGTGTACGTATCACACAAGGACCTCTGAAGGTAATCAGGTTTTCGATTCAGTCCTTGTGTACTTAACAGACTTGTTTCTATGATTTAACATTTCTAGGGATACTTCGGAATAGTCAAAGATGCTACTGAGCAGACGGTTCGGGTTGAACTGCATACGCAGTGCAAGGTCAGTACCCACAGGTCTTTCCGTCCCTTTAAGGATTTGTGGAATTGTTTTGAAGTTAAGCTGCTTGATGGCATTATATTTGATAGCATTTGTTTTCAGACAATTTCCGTGGACAGGTCGCGTATCGCATGCGTGGGAGACGGAACACCAGGAGGATCCATTGTGAACATGACGCAGTTCGCAAAGACTCCATTCCCAGGCGACGATGGCAGAACACCTATGTATGCAGGAAGCAAGACTCCCATGTATGGTTCGGGAGCCAAAACACCTATGTACGGTATGGACGATGGTGGGTTTATTTTTATCACAACTTTGCACTATATCTCTTCCATCAGTTCAATTTCTTCCAACTAGATTGAATTACAAATTTAAGGTGGAAGAACACCGTTTGGCTCGCATACTCCGTCATACGACGTTTCGAGAACCCCTGTTGGTGGTCGTACTCCAGCCTATGATGGTGGACGAACTCCTGCTTACGAAGGTGGACGCACTCCAGCTTATGACAGTGGACGGACGCCAATGTACGATAGCGGTCGCACTCCAACTTACGATGCTAACAGGACACCTGCGTACGATGGAGGGCGGACACCTCAGTATGAGAGTGGTAGAACACCAGCATATGACAGCGGTCGCACTCCCGCATATGAGGGTGGAAGAACACCAGCTTACGATGAACCAGCTGCTGCTTCATCTTCTCGGCGAGGCGACAGCAGTGACGAAGAGGTGAGGCATATTGGTAGTGAAAGTAGTAGTAGCTGTTGCAGGTAGTGAAAACATCAACATATTTAGGATAATGAACCACAGTACGAAGCACCAGCCTCACCATCGTACAGCGTGCCGACACCCGGAACAAATCTCAATCCACAGACTCCTGGCTTCGCCCCAGAAACTCCTATGGGTAAGATTTCCCGGTCATTTCCCTTCAGGCGACAGCAACGTACTGTAGAGTCTTCAGGTAACTATAATCCAATGACACCCGGTGGAATGTACGATTATTCTGCTCCATCACCTTATGTACGCAACAGCTACGAGTCATTTGGAGGACAGAAGATCCGTAAGTTTTCGATTAGTTTCACCCACATATTTCCACTAAATATTCATTGATTTAGCTGCACACTTCTTGGAGGGAGGTGAATGGGTGATGGAGGATCTCTTCGTTACAATCAAGAGCAATCACGATGAAGACCGATTCCAGGATCGTGAGGCAATAGTCACCAGTGTTCAGGTAATGCTACCTAAATATGTTTTCCCATTGCACTTGCTCTTTCTTTTTCGCGGCAATTCGGCAACATGAGGGGACATTTTGGGCTGTTGCTACTCCCTGTTGACATGTCGGGCCATCTGAATAGCTGGTTAAAGAGCTTACATGTTTCGATAGGTTTTGCCATGGTGGCTAGACGAGCTTGCTTCAGCTTCACAAGAGTTCACAGGTTTCACCAGAGTGAGACTTGTAAACCGGAACTAGTGAAGCAGTGAAAGTGCAAATTGCCCCTCCCCCTCCACGGCGCCAAACTGTCCTTCATTATTTCAATCTTGATTTGTTTATTGTTTACAGGATGGCAGATGTCAAGTCTACATTCCGGACCTGAAATGTACTGCTACGGCTGACTTTGATCAAATCGAGCCACTCAAGCCCCAGGAAGGCGATTACGTAAGTTACTGTTACCTGCACAGGGCCTCAGTAAATAACGCCTTCGCTAATGAATCGCTGATGCTTTTAGACTGCGGTCGTGATTCTGGCGATGAATTGGGGCGCAATGGGGCAGTTGAGATCAGTTGATGAACGACGATGGTGATCAAAGTGGAGCGGCACTAAATTTTTGAAACACTGCGGTTAAGTCCGCTCGAGTTCTGCTGTAAGTTCAGCAAGCGGTGAACTGTTGTTGATGAACCATCTATGAGCGGGCTTTCTCGGGTGTTGGTCTGGAATTCAATTGTACAATAGAATAAGGTATTTGTATGATGTAAGTGCTGAAATCCCGTAGTATAATACGTTGTATGGTTTTACGCACGTCATCCATTCCCTTTGTGTTCAAATTCTAGTAGTTCGATAGCTTATATAATATCTAAAAATATTTATGTTTTGATATCAATCCAATTGTTTTACTCCTTCCTCTGATTCAGAATTATTGTTTTAAAATATTTAAATTTGAAGAAATTCTGGTAAAAATTGTACGTAATAAACTGTGTTCCTGAACAAAGCTCATTTTTCATGAAATACGCATACTTTTGCCATAGTTCGGGCGAAAGCGGAGTTTAAAATGCCTCAATTCACTCTGCGTAGACTAAAGTATTTCCATTTATAGTTATTTCCTAGTGGCAGTGAAAAGAGAGAACCACTTGGTATTCTGACACTGTCCATCCCTTTTACTGCTCCTTTCTGTGATTCTGACCGGCATTCAATCGAAAAACTTCTGCTACGGTTTTGGCCGAAGCTTTGCCCGAGAACAGGAATTCACGTCGCATCTTTTGCGGCGAAAGCCTGACGTCCGAGCCGCAGTCTATTTTGTCGCCAGCATCATTTCAGCATTCAGCGCACGCTCCAAGTTTCCGCGTCAGGTTTGAGTATTCGTCTCAGATGTGGGAGGGGGGCAAATCAAATACACTTGGAGACAAATTCTCAACTCGCAGTCGTGGAAAAAAAACTTGGAACAAGCTTCGAAAAGACATTTTCAGCTGTTTCAAGCTATCTCTTATTATGCAGCAGTGTTATGTTCAGAAGCTATGGATAAAAAAAAAGGATAAAGTCTTCGCCGTTGATCAATCCCTTTGTGGGATGCGGCACGCATTCTACTTCCATTCAGAATCGTAGTGGCTTATTGAATGCGATGTGGCCTATACAATGACTTGCGGGGCCAGCCGATGTACAAGTCAGTGTTTTATCCTCCCAGACGAATCTGGTACCAATTTACCGTCCCCGGAGGGTAGAAGGCTTGGTTGGCCTGGGCGGGTGTCGACCTGGGATTCGAACCCAGGACCGCGCGAGTGGTAAGCGCGCTTGTCACTACACCACCTCCGCCTCATGAATATAATGTTATAACAGTAATATTAAAATTTTGATTAAGCGGAGATAGTGTAGTGGCAATGGCGCCACTTACCACAAGCGTGGTCTGGGGTTGAAGCCCGGATCGGCTCCCGCCTGAACCAACCGAGTTTTTCGTGCCTGCGGGGAAAGCTAATTAGTAGTAGACTCGTCTAAGAAGATAAAAAAGTCGACTCCTACATTGGCAGCCCTCACCCCACCCGCAGGTCCCTCCCCCTTCCTCAAAGTGCCTCATCGCCGTAATCTTCAAAATTCTGTCCCTGCAACGAATTCAATCAACCAACTCTCTTCCTTTAGAGTAGCTTTTCTAGAAATTGATTTGAGCAAACAACGTTTTCATGTACAGTTTAGAACTTAAGGTGAAGCTATTAAAATGCGCGCGACTTGGATTGTTCCAGGGTTTTTTTTTCGCGACGTTATTAGGGGTTTCAACGTGCGCCAGAGAGTGGAAACGAGCGGTCGTGCTAATCGTTCGTTCGGCTGAACACTCGAACAGAGACAGAATTGTAATCCGGTTGAGAGGTCGTACCACCCCCACTCCCCACCCCGGATTCCCGCGACATGATGCTTGATCGTGGGAGGGGTTACAACACACTTGGAACAGGAAAAACTGATAAAGGTCCTAACTGAAAAGTAGCGAATGCCACTACTATCTCTCCAGCAACAAGTGCGACCCACTTCGCTGGGGGTCCCCAATATATGTACGATGTTTTGGCCGCACTCGCCGCGGCCAGGGAATAAGGCCAGCCGGGAGTAGGCACTTCAGGCGTAGTTCGGCGACGGGGGGGGGGGGTAATTTGCACTTTTGCTACTTCTCATCGACAAATCAATAAAAAGAAGTCAAGTCAACAACCATCTAGAAGAGCCTTTTGGTGAGCTGACAGGTTTCACCATTGTGGCTCGATGAGCTTTCTCCAGCTTCACGGGAGTTGAGGTAAAGTATGCAAAGCGGAACTAGTGGAAGCATAGTGGAGCAATGAAAGTGCAAAGTACCCCCTCCCCCGAACAGCGCCGACACTTCAGGCCAGCTCTCACGAATAGTGCTTTACCGCACCGTCAACCAGGAAGTGTACAGCGCGCAGTATGAACGAGAAAAGTCAATAATTAAATTTTTTTGGAGGCTGAATACGACTCGTTCCTGTTGGGTTTCGGACTACGATGCTGTACAGTGGGTATGTCACTGCACACGAGTGTCACGGTGCGTAATGTGTCAATGAAAACCGCTATGGCGAGGTTGTTATCAAATCGAGCACGCAGCTATAGCACAAAAATCGGCAGTTGCAGCCACGTTGTCGGAACTGTTCCTTTACGAGTTCCACATGAAGACGGTTCAACACCTGCTTCTGTTGTTGCAGAGAACTTGGAACAAATGTGTAGTGATACAAGATGTCGGTGTTATGTTCAATGGTACACAAATATTTATGAAAGTAGCACTACAGGATTTTGCTCTTCATTTTCGATGCAATTCTGGCGACATTGGCGAATTGCTGGATCTCCATCTTCCAACCTGTTAAGTAATCGTCTACCATGTACGGTAAGTCGTTTTCAGCGCAGAATTGTTTCACCATGGGCATCACCTGAAGCAGTACCCTTTGCAGATGTCTGTAAAAAAGCTTTAGCTGTACGGACCGACCTTGCTGAGGTTATGACGAGGCATCGTTGGGAAGAGGTGGTGCTCTATCTGGAACATTCAGTATTTCAGATTCGATGGTAAAAGCAACAAGGTAGGAGTTAGAGAGAAATAAGTTAGGCTATTGTTGCTTTCTGTCCAAGGAACAATCACTGGGCCCACCTGGTAGTTGAGTCCGCCCCATAGCCAGTCAATGAATATACCAGGTCGCATATTTCTTGTCGTGTTCACTTGAAGACAAGCGTAATTGGACATGATTTTGGAGGTATCTGTAATTTGAAGGCTAATTTCAGAGTGTGGCAGTGGATAAAACAGTGGGCTGACGGACCAGGACCCCTTGGATCTCGACAAACTCACATGGGAACTTGTTCACGGAATAGTGGTTGTAGGTGACAACGTGAGCGAGCAGAAATCCTCCTGTGAGCTGAGAAACAGCGAAGAACAGCAACCTGAAATTGAACCCGATGGGACGCAAGATAAATGGCTTGGATTCTCATGTACCTGGTCTGCATCGAAGGAAGAAAATAGAGTTGTAATAGGACGAGAACCCAGTGTAGTGTGAGAGTTACCTGCAACGAACCTATTACCGTCGAAGAAGCTAAGAATAGAACGTTACTCACCTGTTCGTAGACAGCTCTATCTCGATAGTACTTGTAGTAGTGGATGGGGCATTCCATTCACAAATACAATTGACTGTAGAAGCCAGCTTATTCGAAGCAGTGGCAGCATCACAGACCAGTAAATGTGCTGATAGGGTAGAATTGTGAGCCACCAATTATCAGCCATCTAAAAGGCAATGTGTTAAAGTAGTTCAGAAAGGGACTGCTTCCGTATCCTCCCCAGGATAACTCCAATTAGTGAATTACCTCAATTTATTGGCCTGTTCACCGGCACAATGCCCTAAGTGCGATAATGATCACCTAGTCATTCTGGTAGACCGGTCAATTTCAAGGCATCAGTCTTTCGAAGGCCGAGCCCTTGTATACTGTTTCTACCGTCCCCCCCAGTACATCACATAGTTGCATCGCTTACTCTACATAACCTGTTTGCTCGAGTAAGCCCGCTGCTTAGGTCACTGTTCGCCTGGAAGCCCAGCTACGCGATTGGCCATAGTGTAGTCACCACAGTCACTAACGCCCATAGCGATTTCTCATGATCAACGCTCGCACCATGGTGCTTGCATTTATGCCTCTTGAGAGCCCAAACACACTCGGTTTGACGGCCGTTTTTAAATACTAGAAGCTGACATTTCAGCGCGTACTCTCATCCCTGCCTCAATTCCCTCCGTGCTCATAAGGACATAACACAGGCCGAAGGTAGCCTAAATACAGGCCCAAAAGGTCACTTTTCATCCACTTGACTTTCGAAAGGGTTATTAGTTCATACTAGATCTGGAAGTCTACACAATATTTAAGGAGATTATACTATCATATACTCTTGCCCCAGCCTCTCTGGAGCGCCGTCGAGAGATTCTGCCACGCAACCGTGGTTCGGGTTACTGGCTTCAGCGAGATAGTTGATTTCTCGGCTACTGTAGACCCCCTTGTTGAGCTCCCTCCTGAACGCTGTAATTTGAGAGTTTAAGGTCAGTGGAATACTTAATTATGTCATCTTTTTTCACGGTACTAACGCCCTTAACCTTCTGAGTGCGTGCAGAGAGTTGTTCAACACCCTTCATTCTCATGTGGTGGACACCAAAACCTGTAGCAGTATCAAAAGTTTCAAAAGGTAACGGGCGACCGACAGGTAGGGCGGATATTCTTCTCGGAGAGTTGCTCACTGTCACCCCGGAGCAGCTTCACCTTCAATGCGGGGTCTACAAAGAAAATATTCGGTCTTTCCATTCCAGGTACGTCCGGTCCATACCATCAACCCGCGCCTTGGCGACTGCGGTGAAGATGATGTCCTAGACCGTGGCGACGTTGTCGGAGCTGCTCGATGTTGGAGGTCATCCAGAGGAGCGTTCAGCCTCCAGGTCGCTCTCTGGGTGACTCGATACAAGGACGTTTCGCAGAACTGTTTAGAATAACGTATATTTATAGGCCTTATCTCAGTCTAAGGTTGCGGCTGCGCGAAGACTTCATATTTTTGCGCTGTTTTGTGTGAAGATGAAGAGCCAGCTTCCTGCCTCATCGAGGCAAATCTTGGGATCTTCCGCATCCTGTCTCGTATCCACGTCCTCTGTGATGGTGCTGTGCGAACTTTGCGAGATATGTGACTTGCTCGGAGGTGATTTTTTTGCCCCCCCCCGTACTTACATTGTTGCTCGCTGGTGATACTTGTGCGCTGCCTGCGGTGGGTACGCGGGCATCAGCCCGTCTTTCCAGTTGATTGTCTGCCTGCGCGCTTCGAAAGATGGAGAGCGGGGGTTTTGGAGCAATCGTATCATTGATCGCTGGATGCTCGGTCGTGTCAAGGGGAGGAGAGGGGTGGGTTTCTCGCGGCACCAGGACGTTTTCCAACAACCGTCGTCGCTTGCTCTATCCAACAGCTGGTGCGATCGGGCGCTGCGCCAAACCCGACCTTTTTGACACGCCACAGCATCCCTTGCGAACGAGACTACACCATCTGGTGGTGGGGTCACATGTGAACATCGGCATGTGCAAACGCGAACGCCCGGTATTGTTCAGACACAAGGGGAGATTTTGGCCAGCAACTACCATATATGAGCATTAGGCTGTCACGGATAATCATGATGATAACAATAAATTGGCCCGGTTTCAATAGGCCCTCCCGGGAGCATCGCACGGTTTCTCAGACGAGTGTTTTGAGCACGTTACAGTCTTGTTCGTTGCGGATGCGGGGGCGTGTCAGGAGGCGCTGTCTTTGGCGCGGCGTTGATGATATTAGTCAATGTGAGCGTGCTCGTGAAAACATGACGTTCTGTCTCCAGGGTGCCCATATATTTGTAAAAAATGTATACCTTGAGGTCCTTGGACAACAGTAGCCCACAGCGGCATGAGATCGAGATCCCCATCTCGTCCGACGACATTGGTAGCCGCATGATGGATGTTGTGCTGCTCTTTCCATCCACCCGAAGAGAATCCTTGCAGGAAATTGCCCACGAAATAACTATAATTTGAGGCAACTTGTTGCATAGCCCGGTACTTCAGTAAGTGCGTAACTGGGCTACCTTGCGAGGTCATTATGCCAATGGTCTTTGAAGAGCTGATTATGTGCGAACTCATGAATAAGCCATCCGAGTTGCTGCCATGCAAGACCCATAAGCACAGCTGACGTTATATACCAACCATTAAATTGTAGGTAGACGGCTGTGCCGATAATTAGCAGAGCTTCAATCACCTGGAATCTTTCATTCTGAAAACCATTCGTTATAGAACAAAGAAAAATTATCAAAAAATGGGTATCGCGGTCACTTGCTGAAACTTTGAATACAGGTAGCATTGTAGCAATTCAGCGGGGGTATGACAGTAGGCACGGAGTGAACCCACCGGCGAATTTTTTCACCACTGACTGTTTTCTACTTGGACACGCAACCTGGGCTCATTCCACGCCTCCTGACACCGCCCACGGGATCGCGACGAGCATTCAACGCGACGATGATCCTTCCAAATGTCCCAAGTCTGCCAGGCTCACCTTTCTACAGTAGAACAGCATACTGCCATCCATGAGACCTTCGTGACGAACT